TATGCGTTTGCTGCATATGTGTTTGCTGAATATGTAAATGTTGCGTATGTCTATGTTGCATATGCGTTTGCTGCATATGTGTTTGCTGAATATGTAGATGTTGCATATTTCTATGTTTTATATGTAGATGTTGCATATGTCTATGTTGCGTATGAGTTTTCTATGGGGTTCCATTTGTGCCAAAAATAAGTAGAAGTCATATGTGTAGATTTGTCGTTGCTATGTGTCGTTGGTCTGTGTTGCATGTAGATTATGCATATGTCTATGTTGCATATGCATTCGCTGCATATGTGGTTCACGTCGTTGGTCCATGTCGTTGGTTCATTTTTTTATTTTTTTTTATTAAACATTTTTGAACAACTGTACAGGATCACGTGGCATGTACATACATAAAGACGGTAAGTTTTATAAGCTTAAGGTACATAAAATTATAAGTGTTATGACCCGTCTAGGGGGGGCCAGGTCGCAACATGAAGGATCCATCCTCCTCCGATCTCAACAACCGACACACACAAAGTTGAACAGTTGATAATTATTATTTATTTTAAAAAAGATGTATTTGACAAAGTTACCACTGGAGTACTTGGCTTCAGAGTGAGCTATCGCCAAAAACAACAAAAGGAAACTACCTAAATAGTAACAGAAACTTACCTAATCGAAAGCAAATAAACCAAAGGACAAAAACTTACCTTCCTAAGAAAAACATGAGAAAACTGAGGAAATGTAAACGGCAGCTCACTCCTACACTCCAGAACTCAAACACAGATGAACAAAGGAAAGGGGTGTGGCCGGTGGAGATAGGTCGAGGATGGAACCCAGGAAGTCCGCTTCAGCAGCCTTTATATTCGTCACCTCCGGGAAGCAGCCAATTAGACGTTCCATGAGTGGATGAAGAATTTTGCAAGGATAAACAGGTTGTTAAGTATGAGATCGGTTCTTCTGTCCCTGTGGGTGGTTCCAAATATTATATCCTCTCTTTTTAAGGGATGATTTAGGAAAAGCTTTGTTGAGATCCAGTCCTGAAAGTTTCCCCAAAATGTCTCAGTGTGCACACAGAAGAAAAAAAGATGATCTGTTGTTTCAATATCATTATCACAAAAGGTACAGTTGTTAGTGTCAAAGTTGAATCTTTGTCGTAATAGTTCCCTGGATGGAAAAATATTATTGAGAATTTTAAAATGAACTTCTTTAGCTTTAGGGCTTAGGGGGAATTTAAGGTAAGCTGTTCTCCACTTATTAACCTCTGAATCAAGAAACAAATTTAAAATGGAGTTTTTATTTGGTCGGACAGGAAATATAAGATTGGTTAGATGTTGACGCATCCTTTTGTTAGAATTACTTTTGTCCAAAAGGTTAACTCCAAACAGTTGAAGTGCAGGTAACTGAAGGTCAGCTGATTGAATGTTTATATTTTTAACCAGATATTTGACTGCAGTGGGAATAGAGTTCAATACTGTGTAAAACGGAGTGTGAGAACAGTCCAAATTATACATCATAATTTAACCAATCTCCACTGTCATTAAGAAAATGTCTTATGGACCAAATACCCTTTTCCATCCAGTGATCCAAATACAGAGACTTATTCCTGTGCAGCACATATCTGTTGTTCCAGATGGGAGTCTGGTGAGGAGTAAAGTTGTGCGTGTACATAAGTTTCCAACATAACAACACTTGCTTGTGAAAAGCAGATAACTTAACAGGAAGTCTGTCAACACCAAAGTCACATCTAAGAACAAAATCTATGCATCCAATTTTTTTAAACAAACCCTTGGGGAGACAAAACCAGATACTATTACCATTAATTAAAAAGGATTTCAGCCAGTTTACCTTTAAGACCGCATTTAAACATTCAAAGTCAATAGCTTGTAAACCTCCATCTTTAAAGTCTTTAACCATATTTGCTTTCTTTAAATAGTGGACTCGATTTTTCCAGATGAAATTAAAGTTTAGCTGATTTATATCTTTAATGTATTTGTTAGGAATGGCCATAGAATAAGCTGGGTATATGCATCGGGACAGCGACTCCATTTTGGTTAAATAGGTTCTCCCAAACAGGGTCAGATAGATCTCTTTGGAGCCATCTATTTAACTGAGATTTGCAATTCTGTATCTTATTCTCTATGTTAACAGTTTCACTGAGTTTAGCATCTTTAGTTATTAGAATTCCAAGATATTTAACTGAAGATTTAATGGGAATATTATACGCTTCTGTCAGATCAGAGTCATGAATCGCCATCAGCTCACACTTCTGCAGGTTTAAGGTTAATCCTGATGCTTTGGGAAAGTATTAATTAACTCAAGTACCTTAGGGGTTTGGTCTAGATTTAAAAAAAAAAAAAAATTGTGGTGTCGTCAGCTAGCTGACTGATTATAATTGGATGATCAAAGACTTTCAATTTAGGTATATTTGAGTTTTTTATAAAAATACTCATTACTTCAACGGCCAAGATAAAGAGGAAGGGGGAAATATTACAGCCCTGTTTTACACCCCTATTAACGGTGAAGCGAGGAGACGTACCGTGTGGGAGTGCGACTGAACTCGTGGTACCGTTATAAAAGCTTTCAACTACTCTACAGAAGTTTGGACCAAATCCAAACATGTGTAAAACTTTAAAGAGAAACTGATGCTCCAACATGTCAAAGGCTTTGTAGAAGTCTAGGAAAAGGATGAAGCCTTTATCCTCAATCAAGTCACTGTACTCGAGTAAATCCTGCACCAGTCTGATGTTATTGTGTATAGACCTTTTGGACATAAAACCTGTCTGTGTTTCAGAAATAACATCCTTAAGCCCAGACTTTAATCTATTTGTGTAGATATATGTCAATAGCTTATAATCACAGTTTAGAAGGGTGATTGGACGGTAGTTGACCAGAACTTTGCTGTCTCTTCCTGGTTTGGGTATAAGGGTGATAACGCCCTGCTTCATGCTGTGTGGAAGTGAATTATTACATAAGATCTCTTTAAAAACCTGGAATATAAATTCTCTGAGATAATCCCAGAAATGTCTATAGAAATTGGCAGTAAGGCATGCTGTTGGTTCATGTCGTTGGCCCTTTCGTTGGTCCGTGTTGCTATTGCCTGTTCTCTGCGTCATTAAAAAGTCTTGAAGTAGGTCATGTATGATCAAATTGTATCAAGTTGTATTAGATATTACAAAAATGTTGGTCTTTCAATATCAGTGGTTTCAATAAAATTGTTTTCAAAATGTTAATATTTCTACCTCGTATTTTCTTTAGGCATTAGTCAGGGCAGCTAACGAGGTCATGGGGTCCTTATCCAGTGAAGGGGGCGGTAAATTTCTTTTTAAATCTGTGATATATCTTCATTTTAAAAATAATTTTTACTGTTGGCATCTATTTGAACTTCTCTCTTTTATTTAATTCAGCGCACCTCACAGTTTTAAACAAATTCTGTAGTTTTCGGCGTACTTCTAAATCTGCTCCTTAGTCGCATCTTTTTGGGTCTTCTACTGCCTCTAGTGGCGTGGGGTGGTAACACAAGTAATATAATTACATTACTAAATCAAAACGCCACAAAGTATTTATTATTAATTCTGGCATTAGGATAATAATAATAATAATAATAATAATAATAATAATAATAATAATAATAATAATAATAATAATAATAATAATAATAATAATAATAATAATAATGTGCCTGTGCAAATTAAAATTCCTTGGAATCTTCTTTAAAACCCCAGATATGTTTTCAGCGAACTGTTATCTGTACAGCCAAAATGAATAAAAACTAGAAAACTCATGTGCTCTTTACATAAATTGAGCAAAACATATTCCTCTTCAAGTCAACAATCCACTTATTCTATTGAAAACTGTGATGTTGAGTATACTTTGTCCTCATCTTTCATTATAGACCATGTTGCACCCTTAAAAAGAACTTAAAAGAAACTCAAATTAGCTTTTGTGCAACTTCATTAAACAAAATCCACGGTTCGAGCATACAGCGTGTGTAGTTTTCTCATCCCTTTTTTTTAAATAATCTCGGTCATGAACTTTTTACTCCCATCATGCATTACGACATCCTTAAAGGGGTTTTATCATGACAGAAATTTATGAAATAAATAAAATAGTTGGAGCACATATTTAGCCATAAACCAATTGAATTGTTCCAACTAAACACTAAATCAAATAAATGCTTGCTCAATATGATCAATATACCTATTAAACAATATCGCGTTCGCAACATGTTTTCAGGGATCTACAACCACAATAACAACTTTTATGAAGAACATGTTTTATATTGTGAACACAATCTGATTAACAAACATAATTGTAACATACTGTCATAAAGACCTTTGTTCAAGAAAAAAAGTGCCAAAAATTATGTTTTAAGTAAACAAAACCCTAACCCTAACCCAAAGAAAGCAAAGCAATAATACTTACACCAGCACACACTCCTTTGTTCTTGAACCTACGACGGTTGAGCTGCAAATGCGGTCGTGCTCAAGCTTTGATCCAAGCAAGGCTTTCCGTTTCATATTTTGGAAATCTGTGAATTTTAGTTCCACAAATACGAACAGGACAACAGACATCAAATGTACAGATACCCCACTGACAGTGGAGAACCATTCTTTTTCCGAGTCCTTTCGCAAAAACTTTCTGCCTGTCTGCTAGTCCACAATGTACATTAGCACGTGTTTACTAACGTGGCTTGTGTCAGTCTCAAGGTGAGCTATTAGAAATAAGATCATAAACCAGATTGCAGATTTTCAGTATTAAGGTTTCTTGACTCAGTATTTCTGTTTTTTTGTGCAGGTGCAAAACTTGTGCCACAGATGACTGCAGCAACATTTCACAACAGATCATGTAGATTGTTTGGGATATATTTTCAACAACAACCCTTAGGCCCAAGCATAGCCATTCAGGTCTGAACAACCTCAGAACATTAAATGAATATTATGCAAAATGGTATTCCTGTTTGATAAAATATTAGGCTTTATGATGTTCTTTTCTAATTAGTCTTGGTACTCCACCTAAACTTTGTTTTGTACTCTGTCTTCAGGGAAGAAATCATTCGAGTCCTGGACAATGTTGGGCCTTTGCAGGCTTCCCAGGACGCTTATCCATCAAACTGTCCCACAGAATCACCGTTACTCACGTGTCCCTGGGTCACATTCCTAAGAGTATATCCCCGACTTTCACAGTCTCCAGTGCGCCGAAGGAATTTTCTGTCTATGTAAGGTCAAGCAACATCACATGTATCATACGTGTCCACCTATAGTGTGGAAGAAGGGGCTTTAAATGTGTTGGCAATGATTTAGTGTGACATCACTTGATCACATCAAAAATTTCTGTGTGCACAAATGAATTTTCTGCTTATCTCAGGGTGTGATATGTTTTTAGATACACCAACTAACTTTCACATATATAGAAAGAACAAGATAATGAACTGGATTTCTATCTAATTTTGTCTCAGGGAAAGAAGCATTTACACGATCAGGAGAGTTTATTGGGAACTTTTCAATATGACGAGGATGATGACAGCTTACAGACCTTCAAACTTCCTGTAAATATGTCAAATTAATATTTTATTAACCAAATACAACAATTCTTACAGAAGCCCAGAGTGACTGACCCTGTTATAAATATTGGTAATTTTTCCTAATATACAACCATAAGGTTCTTCACAACAACTTTTATTATGTCTTATAACAAAATCTATCAATCTGTTATCACAAAATAGTTATTTTTGTTGTATCACGATAAGAAACAAATCAAAATAAACCTCCAGTTTTACTAGATAACATTACGTTTTCTGGTTAGAAAGATATTAGTATAATTCCATGGCATCTTGAAAAATCAATGCAAAATATATTTACAGCAAGGACAGTTGAACTGGGCTTCCATGCACTTTAAGCAGATCTCCTTTGTTTCCATTGTCTTGTCTATTTGTAGCTATGGATTATCAATATAACCCTCCTAATATGCATCTTTCTTGGCTAACAGGAAGAAAACATGGACTCCTTCAGCTACATCAGTCTAAAGGTGAAAAACAACTGGGGTCAACCGGGATACACATGCCTCTATAATTTTAGAGTGCATGGGGTTAGTCGAGACATGAAGAGGAGGCCATCTTTCATATATGTTTTGTATTTGTTTAACTAATAAATGTAGTAAAAATATTTATTTATAGAGTGTAGCTCAGTTTTAAGTCCATACAACAACTAGCTGGTGTCGGAACCTGGATGTCGTCAGTGGCTGGTGTCGGTGTCTAGGCCTCACTACCCACCACCCACTGGTAAGGCTAAGGCTCTGACACCAACGACAGGTTGGTGTCAGAGGGGGCTGCTCCTCCACAGCAGCAGACTCAGGTAGCTCGGGGGGCTGCTCCACCACAGCAGCGGACGCTGTAGTCTCGGGCGGCGGGTACACATGAAGAGGAGGCCATCTTTCATTCTTAGTTTTGTATTTGTTTAACTAATTAATTTAGTAAAAATATTTATAGAGTGTAGCTCAGTTTTAAGACCTCACAACAACTACTAGCTGGTGTCGGAACCTGGGAAGTGGTGGCTGCTGACAGAGCCTGGACCTCGTCAGTGGCTGGTGTCGGTGTCTGGGCCTCACTACCCACCACCCGCTGGTAAGGCTAAGGCTCTGACACCAATGACAGGCTGGTGTCAGAGGGGGCTGCTCCTCCATAGCAGCAGACCCAGGGAGCTCGGGGGGCTGCTCCTCTATAGCAGCAGACTACGGAATCTCAGGGGGCAGCTCCACCACAGCAGCGGACGCTGTAGTCTCGGGCGGCGGGTATGCCGCAACAGCAGCAAGCTCAGGCGGCGGGTACACATGAAGAGGAGGCCATCTTTCATATAAGTTTTGTATTTGTTTAACTAATTAATTTAGTAAAAATATTTATTTAAAAAGTGTAGCTCAGTTTTAAGTCCTCACAACAACTAGATGGTGTTGGAACCTGGGAATTGGTGGCTGCTGACAGAGCCTGGACGTCGTCAGTGGCTGGTGTCGGTGTCTGGGCCTCACTACCCACCACCCGCTGGTAAGGCTAAGGCTCTGACACCAGCCAAAAGTGAGGCCCAGACATTGACTCCAGCAACCACCCACCACCCACTGGTCAGGCCAAGGCTCTGACACCAACGACAGGTTGGTGTCAGAAGGGGCTGCTCCTCCACAGCAGCGGACGCGGCAGGCTCGGGCGGTTGGTACGCCGCAACAGTGGCAGGCTCAGGCCAGCAAGCTCTGGCAGATGCGGGGAATCCACCCGCAGGTACGGGCCATGCCACCAACTGCGCCACTTGGCGTCCTGGTGTCAGCCTGGCCACCTGGAACCCCATAGCCATGGGGACTGTGGCGACTGGAGACGAGTGGGGTGTGGCGATAGGATCCGGGGAAACACCAGTGAGTGGTGGCTGGTGGCTGCTGTCGGTGTCTGGGTCTCGCCAGTGGCTGGTGGTGGGTGTCAGAGCCTAGGCCTCGTCAGTGGGTGGTGGCTAGCGTCTGTGTCTTGGCCTCTCCAGTGGGTGGTTGGTGGTGGCAGGCATCAGTGTCTTTACCTCACCAGTGGCTGGTGTCAAAGCTTGGACTTCACCAGTGGCTCATGTTAGTGCCTGGGTCTTGCCAGTGGCTGCTGACAAGTCTCAGAGCCTGGACCTTGCCATTGGCTGGTTGCTGTTGTCAGTGGCTGGTGTCAGAGCCTGGGTTTCACCAGTGGCTGGTGGCTACATTCAGGACTGACTCCAATGAAAGGTAGTTCCTTCTACTAGCTTACATTGTTGGGGCACCATGTACACTAATCACTAAACACACTGTGTTTTTCTTATTTCAGAGATTCAGTTCCAGCTGTATTTTAATGTGTTTCTTTTTGTTTGTTTGTTTTTTTATTTTTGCCCTCTTGAAACCAGCCAGCCTCGGCAGATGGCTGCTCATCCTGAGCCTGGTTCTGCTGGAGGTTTCTTCCTTTTAATGGGAGTTATCCTCTCCACTGTTGCCTTGTGCTTGCTCAGGATGGGGGATCCCTTGGTTTAAACATCCATCGCGATCTGCTGGTGACCCCAAGTTAAGAGCGATTCAAGATTTTCAGTGAAGGAGTACCAAAAGGAATCTGGCGGTTAGGAAATGGACAGGATCGCATATTTCTTCCTATAAGTTCTTTCAGATTTTCTTGTACTTCCTTACTTAGATATTTTGTCTGTATGGAGGCCGTGTGTGTGTTTGATCTTGGCAGTTTAGATAAACTGCATGGTAAGTCTGACTAACTTGCAGTACAATCTTGATAAAACCTATCAAGATTGCAGGTTATCTATCAAGATCCTACAGAAGCGCATTGCTATCACGCAGGAAAAAACAAATTCGAGCGCTATCACGTTATAACGTGATACGTATCTTGTTAAAACGTGATACGTATCTTGTTAAAACGTGATAATTTTTATGTCCAGTTAGTGGCGATATTATGCGTGGCTAGTACAGTGGCTAACAGGAATTGGTCAGGTTTCCCTTCATGTTTGGTCTACAACATGTAGAGATACGGATGCTGCTTTGCACTGTGGTTAAAACCATTAATAGCATGCGTACTCTGAGCAGGATCCTAAACAGAACGGGACTGGACAGAAGGAGACGTCAGTCCCGTCCTCTAGCTGACTGTCTGATCGAAGCTGAAGTTGGCTTCCAATTGTAGCTTCTGATTCGGGAAATGGCTAAAGGGAGATTATAACGGAGGCTCAAATGGATTTGCTGAATATTTTCTGTTCAGATTGTTTTTTTAACAGTACATTTGCTGAGCAATGGCAAGGGCTGTTTGTAACCAAGCAACCGAAATCATCAGAAGGCTAGAAAGTGGCAAAAGACAAGACTAGATCCTGTTAAGCATTCTTCAAAATAAAAGACTTACTCTCTCCAAAATAAATAATAAATAAAGCTTTGAAATTTAATAATTTTTCACGTCACCTTTTTGTAATTCTGTACAATCAAGTTAAATTCAGTGAATAATAAAAATCATGTAAATTATACTTAACATATTACTGAATATGTTGAGTATAATTTACATGTTAAGTATAATTTATTGAATAATAATGATGTAAATTATACTTAACATATTACTGAATATGTTAAGTATAATTTACATGTTAAGTATAATTTATTGAATAATAATAATCATGTAAATTATACTTAACATATTCAGTAATATGTTAAGTATAAT